TAGTACTTGGTTTGCTGACACTCCAGGAGCCCTGCATTCTCCTATCTCTATTTCTATCTACCGTGTTTCCCCGAAAATAAGACATCCTCCGAAAATAAGACCTACTTACAGGTTTCCTTCTGAGTGAAATATAAGGCATCCCCCTGAAAATAAGGCCCCCCTAAGCTAAACATGAGAGATTTGGTCCACTGATTCTGAAAGAAATGGAGTCACAAGAAATTCACCAGGAAATTCAGGAATTGGATTGTTATGATGATGTTCCAGAAGATGATGACATGATTGTCATTGAATAAATAAGTAAATTATTGATATTGTAGGATTCACAGTTTGTCTGGTTTGTGTTGACAACTACCGTACTACCATACCGTATACAGGTAATAAATTTCCTTTATTTTCATTTAACAATAAATGTGTACCGTATTCTTCTTCATGGAAAAATAAGACATTCCCTGAAAATAAGACCTAGCGCATCTTTGGGAGCAAAAATTAATATAAGACAATATCTTATTTTCGGGGAAACAGGGTATCTATCTCTCTCTATCTCTCTCTATCTCTCTCTCTCTTTCACTTTATTCAGAAGTTCATTCTTTCTATTTGCCACCTTTCTACCAAGCAACACCAACACCCTCACCTGGAAATTACTGCTTCTGCATTTCCCCCTCCTGCTTCCAGAATCGCTACTGACAACATGTAGCCAGGCAAGGCCGAGGCCCCCTGCCTCTCCCGGTCAGATGCCACGCACACTGCTTCTGTCAGAACAATGAGCATCCGTCCCGGCCCTGCGTGGGGAGACCTGCGGTGAATGGTCGGTATAAATTATAGATGCGTCTGTCCAGATGGACTCGCTCATCCATGCAGAGGTTGGGGGAATTTCTGGGGGAATTTCATTCCTCCTGGTTCCTAACAGTCCCTAACACATCTGCACCTAAGCAATATAACCTAGTACACATTTCACCTGTGTTATTGTGCCCCTGCACTAGCCTATTTCCTCTAGGAGGCATTTGAAGTTGATTGGGGGGTATTTCTGGCTTATCCCCGCCCCCTTTCCCAGTAAAAATCTGTTATCTTGATGCATCAGTAGGAAATATAGACATTCAACCCCAAATTAACAAGTTAACACAGTACGATTTCTATGTGTGTGTGTGTGTGTGTATGTGTGTGTGTGTGTGTGAGATGTGTGTGTGTGAGTGTGTGTGTGTGTGAGAAAGAGAGAGAGAGAGACTTCCATTCAAGTTTATTGTCAAAGACACATCCTTTCCTTTGCTGGCTGGGACCTTCAATGCCTTCGAGCGAAGCAGCGTGGAAAATAAACAAAGTAGACTATTAATACTCTTAGCTCCAAATGGGCCCTGGATTGTTTACTCTGTTGCATATTTGCTTTAATGAGCAGCTGGGGGAAATGCCGAGGCATGCCGCTCCGGACCATAAAAGACCCTGTATCATCGCTTGAAACATATTCGCTTAATTGACTCTCTTCCCTGCAGCTGGGAGGGTCTGGATGGGAGAGCTCTCGTTACCGGCTCCCATAAAAGTCTCTGGGTACACATATACCAGTGGGCATCTTTCCCGCAACGAAATGAATCACGGCGGAGCAGAGCCATAAAGAGCCTGCGTGGTGGGTGGAGAAGCTCAGAGCCCTCGTGCGTATGGAAGCCATAGTGGGCACCCATGGATGGTCTGGGGAGCAGGGACTCTGATGTAGACACACACTGCCTTTCCCTGCGCCTTCCGCCAGAGGGAGGTTGATCCCAGGTTAACCTCTGGCTTTGTCTGTTCTGGGTCCCACATGGGGTCCCAAGAGGATGCAAGAATAGGGACACTTGCCGAAACCAGTTTGGCTCAGTGAATAGAGTGTCGGCCTGCGGACTGAAGGGTCCCAGGTTTGATACCAGTCAAGGGCATATACCTTGGTTGCAGACACACCCTCAGTAGGGAGTGTGCAGGAGGCAGCTGATCAATGATTCTTTCTCATCGATGTTTCTAACTCTCTATCCCTCTCTCTTCCTTTCTGTAAAAAAATCAATAAAATAAATAAAATTAAAAAAGAATAGGGACACTGCCTAAGAACCCGTTGCACATCCTGGTACCATGAAGCAACCAGGAGGACAATGGGAAGGTTCCTGAGCAGAAGGCCCTTCTGCATGGAGTTCGTTAATATTTTTTACTGCATAAGAAGGGAATGAGCTGGGGTATCTTCCTAGACCTACATCCCAATCTCCTTCCCCGCTGCTCCTCCTCCTCTTCCTCTCTTTTTCTTTTGAAAAATCATGTTGCTTTCCTCTAATCCCAGCCAGCAGAGAGGAGAGGGAGGCCTGCAGGCCCGGCGCGCGCACCGATACCGCAGAGGTCTGATAAATCAGCTGAAAATCAATACGTGCTCTGTGGTAGCGTCTCCTTTACAACCAGAGCGCCAGGGGACAGAGCTAATGCTTTCTCTCCACCACCATCCCCGTCTTTTCTGTAAAAAAAAAAAAAAAATCTGCTTGGGAACGAATGGGCAACCTAAGTTGCTGAGTAAGGATTTCAACCACCTCATTTTATTACGTTACAATTGACATACCTTCCCTCTGGAAATGTTTGCAATTAATTAATTAGCCGTAATCTCCCCCGAGGGACTAATTTAATGAATGCTCTCCAATTCTCACTTTAAAAAAGAAGGAGGGGAAAAAAAAAAAGCTCAGATGTATCCGAGCTGCAAATGTGTGGATGGCGCCAAAGTGCATTTGGAGAAATCAGGGGATCCAGCTATTACGGGGAAGTGTTATCACTAAATCAATCAGGCGATAACCATCCTTCTCTTTCAAACGAGGGCAGCTTCCCGGGTTGAAGGCAAGGTTTCTCCTGGCTCAGGGCCCTAGTGCTCAGAAAGGAGCTTGTCCCGGGTCTCTCAGGAGGGAGCCTGCGGTTGGGAGTGCAGCTTCTGTAAGCGCCTCCCCAGGTCTGCAGAACCTGAGATGGGGAAAAGGGGGAGCCGAAGATGTGGCTCTAAAGGGGTGGCTTTGCTTGGGGGGGGGGGGGGGGCAGAGGCAAACGGGGCCCAGACTTGGCCCTGCCCCTGTGCCCCCTCCTGGCCCTGCGAGGACCCAAGGCAGAGGAGAGGGGCTGTCCCTAACCTGGGGGCCAGAGGTTCTTGTGGTTCAGCTCGAACATAAAACTGAGCCCTTGGACCAACCCTCCCCGCACCCCAGTCCTCCTGGGGGGCCCTGAGGGCTGGAAGGTGCAGCGACCCGGGGAGTGGAAGGCCAGGCTTCCCGAGGTCTCTGGCCTGCAGCTCCCAAACCCAGAGCTCGCCTGGCATTCGGGCAGCAGCCGCCAGCGCCCTCCAGAAGGGCTGTCCCTGTTCTCGGGGTGCAGGCCCCCCGGGGAGGCTGCTCCGGGCCTAGGGGCTGAGCCTTTTCGGGGTGCGGAATCGACCCTTTTCGGGGCGCTCACCAACCAGGGCCGCTTTCCCGGGGCGGGCGTGGATGACGTGGCCCCTTCCCGGGCCCCCAAAGAGCTCATGCGCCCATCAGTCCCCCTGGAGGGCCCCGGGGATTAAGGGGGCCGGTCAGACCCGCTGCCCAGTCGGGCGGGCGGGGGTCCAGGTGAAGAGCGAAGGGCCCGCTCCAGCGCGGCTCGCCAGCGCCACCCCCGGCGGAGCGCCGCCGCTGCAGCCCGGCCCGGCCCGGCGCCTCCCGAGGCTCCCGCTCCCCGGGCTGAGCTCCGGTCTGCAGCGCCCGGGGTCAGGCTGGGCGCGTTTCCAGGTGGATCCTCAGGGCGCCTGAGCCTGGACCTCGAGGGGGCGCTATCCGGCCTATTCCAGGGCCCCAGGGGCAGAGAAGCCCGCCGGGGCCCAGGCCCTGGCAAAGGCCCCTGCGCGGAGGGCACGAATGCAGCTAGCTTTGGGGGGACTGGAGGGCAGAGCCAGGTCCCCGCGGACAAAGGCGGGCGCGGGCCAGCGGGGTTCACCGGCGCCGCCCAGCGCCGCCCCAAGGCTCTCTCTCGGGGAGCCTGGGACGCGAACAAACTTTGCTGCGGGCGGAGGGCGCGGTGGGGAGCCGGCTGGAACCTCACCCCGGGGCCTCCGCTCCCCTCCACCTGCGGCCGGGCCGCCGCCGCCCAGCCCGCGCCCGCCCGGCTCCCTCCCCGCCCCGCGCGCCTCCGCTCACTCCGGCTCCGCTCTCCTCTCCCCTCCGCCTTCTTCTCCCGCCAGCCTTTCTCCCCCGCTTTCCTCCGCTTTCTTCCCCCTGCGCCTCCTTTTGGATCCTCTCCTCCCTCGCTGCCCAGGAGGCCTCCCTCCTCCTCCTCCTCCTCCGGGCCGCGGGGAGGAGGTGAGCGCTGCGCCCGGGGAATTTGGAGAGGGAGGCGTGCGCGCGCGCATGGAAAGCGCAAAGGGGTAGGATCCTGCGCGCCCAGCGGAGAGGGTCAGGGTCTCTGACATTCCTCGCCGGCTGCACCAGCCTCTGACATCCTCTGGTCCGCTCCCCCAGCGCCAGCCTGGACAAGGGGGTGACCCGAAACTCGGACCCTCTGACTGTGCGCTTAGGAGGAGGGTGGGGTCTCGGAATAAGGAGTAGGTGAGGGTGAGCGCGCAAGGGCTGGCCGCGCTGGGCGCGTTGGGTGGCCCGGGGCCCCGGGGCCGGGGGCCCGCCTGGCGGCCCAGGATTACCGTGACGTCACGCGGAGCCTCTGGCCGCCTCGGACCCCTCCGGAGCCGCACAGCCTCCCCACCGCGCGCCTTGGGGAACTCGCCGCCTCCTCTCCCTCCCCCGGCTCATCCATGGGCCCTCCTGCCTCCCGGACCGCAGCAGCCGGTGCAGCGGCTTCTGGAGCGCAGGGCTCGGCGGGTCCGTCTGCCCTGGGCTCTGCCTCCGGGAGCGCCGAGCGGGCGGAGGACCCGGCGCTGGGCACCACCCGCAGCCGCGTAAGGAACTGAGGCAGCGTCCGGCTGGAGCGCAGGACCGCGGGGGCCGAGGCGGGAGCACGCTAAGGAAGAGGGAGGAGAGCCGAGGGCAGCCACCATGGCCTTCCCGCACTTTGGACACCCGTATGGCAGCGCTTCCCAGGTAAGAGGCGCCTCTTTTGGGGGGGACGGCGGGGGCGACTGGATGGAGGGGGTACCCAGTGCACCCGCCTGTCCCTGAGCGCCCTCCTCTCCGATGGGTCTCCCAGGAAACCAGAGGCAGCAGGGACCAGGTAACAAGGTACCACAGCCCACTACCTGAGCGCGCAGGATCCTACCCCTTTGCTGAGGAGGGGGTGACCCCAAACCGGGACCCTCGGACCCTGCGCTCAGGAGGAGGGTGGGGTCTCGGGGAGCTTCCAGACAGGCCCCCTTCCTGCACAGAGAGCCGGCTGAGGTGGCCGGCAGGGGCTCAGGGAAGGAGACTTCCAGCCCAGGACGCTGTCCATCCCACAGTTGTCCTGCTGCTGTTCGTGGTTGACCTCTGTTCTTCCCTCCCCCCTTTCTTGGGTCCGTCCAAGCTCGCCGCTTCTGGTTCCTTCCGTCTTACAGGCCTGTGTGGGCACTGTGCGGGGACCAGGGCTTCCTGGAGAAATTCTGGGGGCGCCCACCCCTGTTCTCCAGTTTCTCTCCAGAGTGCGGGGTAAAACTTCCTGGGGTCTAGTCCCGGCCCGGCCCCTGACCCCCTCTGTGACCTTGGACAAGCCTGCCCGCCCTTCCTGTCAAATAGGGGTCTGTCTGCTGAGACGGGATGAAGGCCTCCAGGGCCAGCTTCCAGCTCTGCCTTTGCAGGACCCTGTGATGGGGAAGGGGCGGAGGAGCCAGCAGAGTGGGTTTCAGGATGTCCTCAGTGGCCGGGCCCCGTGGGAACTGCAGCCTTAGCGACGGCTCAGGAGTGTCTCTGAGGGCCGTTTGGATGAATCTCGTCTTCAGATCCCCCCTGCGCAGGGCTCAGCGGATGCTCAGGCCGCGGTGGCATTTGGGATCTCGTGTTGGGGTCTCTGACCTCCCATGCCTTCTCTCTCGCCCCCGCCCCCCTAGTTCCTGGTGTCTGCAAACTCCAGCACCACTTGCTGCGAATCCTCCCCGCACTCAGTCCCCGATGTGGCCTCGGGCTCCAGCCCGGCAGCCGCCGCTCTCTGCTTAGCTCCTTACGACAGCCGGCTGCTGGGCAGCGCACGGCGGCCGGAGCTGGGCACGGCCCTGGGCATCTATGGAGCCCCCTACGCGGCCGCTGCGGCTGCCCAGAGCTACCCCGGGTACCTGCCCTACAGCCCGGAGCCGCCCGTGCTGTACGGGACGCTGGTGAGTGGAGGGGGTGGGACCTGGGTCTGGGCTCCAGAACCCACCGCCCAGGGGCAGAAGCTGTGGGGGGAGGGGGGACCCACTGGGACATCTCCAGGCAAACCTAGGAAGGATGCCCAGCTCCTTGGAGGACAGGCAGCGGTTGGGGTCTTGGAAAGGGGTTACGTCACAGTTCGCAGAAGTCCATACTGTTTAGAAAACATTTGCATTTCTATTCACACATTTGCATCTCCATTCACAAGTTGGTTGGCAAGTCCCAACTCCCCTCAAGGTACAGCTGAGGAAACTGGGGTCCACACCTTTCCCAGAGTCACCGAGAGATACGAAGAGTCAGGGACCAGCTCTGCTGGAAACTGAGGCAGGAAAGTCCCCCAGCTGGTGGAGGGTAGGGGAGGGACACACCAGTGGTAACAGTCGTCATAGCTGCTAACGCATAACTACTGCTTATGCGGTCCCAGGCATTGTGCCTGCCAGCGCCCTTCCCCAATAGCCTGGAGGCACTATTATCACCCCCGTTGACCGAGGGGAAACGGAGGCACGGCGCTGTTAGCCACTGTTCCCGAGATCACACGGCCAGTGCGAGGTCGTGGGCGCTGGAATTTAGCTTGGACAGACTCCTCTGGAGTTGACATTCTTAGCGCCCACCCCCCACCCTGGTCTCCTCCCCACATGCAGGGAGAACTGAGTCCTTCCTTCCTCCTTTCCCTCCCCTCCCCTCCCCCCACCAGAACGCCCAGTATGAGTTTAAGGAGACCGCCCGGAGCTTCTCGCCCAGCCTCTCGCAGCCGGGAGCCTATTACCCCTACGAGCCCACGCTGGGGCACTACCCCTATGACCGGTAAGGTGTGGGGGGTAAGGAAGGTGTGGGGGTAAGGTGTGGAGGGTAAGGTGTGGGGGGTAAGGTGTGGGGGGTAAGGAAGGTGTGGGGGTAAGGTGGCTGGCAGGGCAAGTCCTTCCCCGCCCGCTGCCCGGGGAGGGCTGATCTGGGCAGCAGCGAGTGAGAAGGGGGAAGAGCCGGGAGGGACGGGGGCAGAGCCCATCCCCACGCCGCACCACCCCCTCCTGCCCGCCGCCCCAGGTGTCCGCCCCCCCCACACTGTGAGCCGGGTTCCCCCTGCAGGTACCACGCGGCCACGGAGTTGGGCGGCACCGGGCGCAGGAAGAACGCCACCCGGGAGACCACGAGCACGCTCAAGGCCTGGCTGCAGGAGCACCGCAAGAACCCCTACCCCACCAAGGGCGAGAAGATCATGCTGGCCATCGTCACCAAGATGACGCTCACCCAGGTGTCCACCTGGTTCGCCAACGCACGCCGGCGCCTCAAGAAGGAGAACCAGATGACCTGGGCGCCCAAGAACAGAGGCGGGGAGGAGCGGAGGGCCGAGGACGGGGCCCGGGAGTCGCCGGGCTGCTGCCTACGGGGTGAGGCCCAAGGTATCCGCCGCGGGCATCACCCCAGCTGCCCGCTGCTGCCCGCAGGGTGGGCTTTAGGGAGGGCGCTGCTCGCTGACCCTGGCACCTGCCTCCCCCTGCAGGCTTCAGGGCCTGTGCCCGCGGGTACCCTCTGCCCCGCCTCCCCTACAGAACCAGCTTTGCCTGGACTAAAGTGCCACCTGGGCAGGTCCTTCCTGGCCGCCTAAGCCAACGCAGCCCCCTCGTTCTTCTCTAAGGCCATCCCCCTTTAACCCTTTCACAATGGAGCACTGTGACCCCTTTAAGAACTCAGGGCCCCCAGAAGCCCTTTCCCTGGGTGAATGCCTGGGTATCTGGCACCTCTTTAGCTCTCGCTGCTTTACATTCCACCTGGGCATGCGGTAACGAGATAGAAATTACCCCCTTGCCTTTTTATATGGGTTTCCCCCGGCCTGGGGGCTGGGGGCGAATGTAGAGGAGGAGAGGTCTGGTGGGGTGGGGTCCAGGCTGGGGCCAGCGTTCTCTCCCTGGGGCCCCGGTGAGGGCTGGTGTGGTCCTCCTGGTGGAGGACTCCCAGCATGCCCCAGGGCCGGGCACATCTCGCTAAAAGCTTCTGGGGCCAGGCACTCCCGCAGATTTCCCTGGGGGCCGGCCTGGCGCTTTTCTCACTCCCCCCTCCCGTCCTGCAGACCTCGCTTCGAGCCGGGAAGCTCAAGGACTCCTCAGGCTGAGTGACCTGGAGGACCAGGAGGAAGAGGAGGGGGAGGAGGAGGAGGAGGATGAAGAGGAGGCAGAGGTCATGGCTATGGACAGGCTCGTGGAGTGCCACAAGGACGCGCAGCCGCTGCCGACCCCATGTGCCCTGGCTCCCCTGGGCCTGGGCCGGCCGGAGCGCAGGGAGTGCGGCCTGAAGGCACCCCGCTTCTCTCTCCCCGAGCCCCCGGGATCCTCGGGAGAAGCTGACTTCCTGCAGGCAGAGCCAGGAGCCCCCGCCCTGACCACGCACTCCCCCTGCGGCCAGAAGCCGCGCATCTGGTCCCTGGCGCACACAGCCACCGCCCAAGGGGCGCCCTCCGTCCCGCCCAAAACCCGCAGCAGCCCCGAGTGCCGCCTGACTCCCCGACAGCCCCCTGCAGGCCTCAGAGACTCCGCACCGGACCGGCCTTGTTACCTCGGAGCCAGAGCCTTCGGGAAGCCCGCGCTGGCTGCGATGCAGGCGCTGCCCCTGAGCTGCGCCCCGTGCCCGCAGCGGAGGGAGGCAGCCGGGCAGTGCCAGTACCCGCCGTCCGGAGCAGAAGGTAGCGAGCCCCCCATGGCGCTGGGACTGTGTCCAAAAGACCCCTGCCCATGTGCTGCCCGGCCCTTGGCATACCCTTCGGGACCCTTGGGCACGGCCAGGTTCCACCTGGCACGGGATGGGCGCATGGCCCTCTTTGAAACGGAAGCTTAGAGATAACAGTCCTAGCGTTCCCTCATGTAAAAGCCAAATAACAGTAAAAAGCTCCGAGGGAGGCAGTGGCGAAAGAGATGGGCAGCCTGCCCCTCTGCACTGGCACCTGGGGACCTGCCAGGTGCACCAGGTGGGCACCCTCACGACCCTCTGGCACAGGAGCCCTGGTCCCCTGCCTGCCCTGCAGAGGAGGGCGGTGCGCCCCTGCCATGCTTGTGTCCGGGTTTGCTGGGGCTGGGCAGGCCCCTGGGCTCCGGGGAAAGTGGGAAGGGCAGGGCCAGACCCACAGTTTGCTAGGCCAGGGCTTAGGAGAGAGCTTCCCATCCTCTCTGCAGCCCGCGGGCACCTGGGGAGGGCAGCCGGGGTCGGTGAGTCCTTGGAGCGCACTCACCCCAAGATCACACCCCTAGGCAGGGGGTGACTGCCAATCCGCGTCTCCTCCCCCACTGCCCCCTCCCAGCTGGGTCTCGGGCCAGGCCTGGCAGGAGGAAGTGTCACCCCACACAAGGCCATTCCCGAGAAATTGGCAGCCTCCAGCCATGACCTTCAGAGTTCTGCTCCTTGTGGTCTTTTCTCCCAGGATTAGCGGAAATTGGGTTCCATTGTTATTTGAATTTACACACAAAGGAGCCCACGTGTTACCTCTGGCGGGCAAATTGCTTCTGGACCTCGGATTCCCCGCGGAGGAGACCCCCCTGGCCTCCAATTTCCCAGGAACTGCCGTCCCTAGCCCGAAGGGTTTTAATCAGCCTCTCCTCTCTCAGCAGGTTAGCGCCCGGGTGCGATTTGCGGAAATCAGCCCGACTTCGCCGACTCACCTTCACTTCGAGAAGCGGGGAGACCTCCCCAGGAACTGAGGGCTCCCCTCCTCCCCCGTTTAAGAGGACAGACCCACAGAAACCAACCTTCCCGCAGGCGCTCCTTGCACGCGCAGCTGGTAGTGGGGGGCAGAGGGGCGTCCCCTCAGATCCCAGAGGAAGTTGTAGGTTACCTGGGGGGAGGCGGGCGGCGAGTCTGCCTCCCTCCTCTGGATCCGGGGTCTGAGCTGCGCCCTCCCCTGGTCACCCCACCCCCTCACGTTGTAACTTCCACGCTGACCTGGCCCCTAAGGATCATCTGTGTCGACACCCCCTTCCCCCATTCCTTGTGTCCTTAAAAATAATCAAGCCGGACCTAAGACCTAAGCTGTGTGGCCTCTCTGTGACAGGGGCTATTGGAGGAGGGGGAGGACGGGACGTGGTGTGGGCTGCAGACCTCAGCCCCCAGTTTCTGGGAGAGAAATTGACAGGGTTTGGGCCCAGGCCCAGGCGCCTGCAGCCTCGGAACCCCGTGCCCCAACCCAGCTCCCTGCGCCTATTCCGTGCCCCACAGGCTGTCTTTGCCAGCGCCCCCCCCCCTCCCCGGCTGTGTCCGGGCTGAATCCTGGGTGCAGGAGGTGGGGACTGAACTGGGAGGTCGGGAATGGTGGGAGTTGTCAGACACTTGTCTGGAAGCTTCATATGGTTCCCTTGTACTTGGGTTTTAACATCCTTGGTTGGATGGGACCATGGGGATCTTCACGGCCCTCCTTTGGCACTGGCGCTAGGACCCTGCGCTCCTAGGATGGGCCGGAATGGCGGAGTCTGACAGCTTGCCAGGCCGCCGAGGGGAGACCGGGGCATTCTTTCCCTTCACCGGGGTCAGCAAACACTTCGGGCCCTGGCCCACCCATGGGAGCGGGCAGGCAGGGAAGGGGGCTTTGTCCCTCCATGTGGGGAGCAGGGCAGGGGGCGGAGAGATGAGTGCCCGCATCCTGGGCGAGGTGGCTTTGGTTTCAGCCAGCTAGGGAGCTCCCAGGGAAAGAGGGAGGGGCATCAGGGCCTGGGCCTAGTGGGGAGCTCCAAGCTCTGGGGAGCAGAGATGGCTCCTGGGGTGTGTGCCTATTGGCTTGATGCTTGAGCAGCTGGGCCTCCCCTGCTGGGCTCCGCTGGACCCGCCCTGGTGGAGTGGTGGCCTTTCAGACCTGAGCGTGGGTGCCAGCTGGGCAGTCCCTGGAGTCTGGGATGGAGAGGGTCCCTGTCCTGGGGAGTGGGGAGGGAGAGAGATTGGAAGACCTGTGGAGGCTGCAGAGGAAGGGGTGGTTAAACTGGGGGACAGGCAGCAGGCTACTCCCTGACACCCCTCTCTCCCTCCCCCGGCTTCCTTTCATGCTGGGAGTCAGAAGGGTCTAGAAGAAATGCTGAAACACCACCGGTCAGTGTTGAGCTGTTGCTGGGAAGAAGCAAGCTGGAGAGCCCAGGGAGGCTAAGAAAAGGGGATCCAGGCTCCCCGAGGGGCAGCTGTGCCCTGACCTCGCTGCCACACACCTTGAGCTTTAAGAGCAGGCTTGAGCTAGGTGTGCATCCAGCCTCCTACATGGATGTCAGTGTCTGCAGAGGGCGGAGGCGGAGGAAAAGGCCCTCTGCTCCAGGCGTGAGCATCTTCGGCAGCTCCTTGGGGGCCTGGCTTGGGCAGGCTCCACCCCCACGATACACAGGGTTTTACAGTTGGGCGTATGAAAAAGTAATGCATTAATTCATACCTAATAATACAAGCACCGGCTCTGTGTTTCGAGCACGTCTTCAACTGTCAGTTGATGCAATCTGCTTTATCACTGCCGTTTCTTGTTTGAAAGGAGACATAGTTGGTGACGAGCATGACACGTCAAAATGGAGATTGTGTGACCAAGGGGGCCTGGGACTCAGGGAGAATGCTGGCCAACCTCAGTCTTGGCCAGATTATCTCCCCCCACCCCCGAATCTCAGTTCCTAACCCTATCAGTCATCTTCTCATAAACTGTCTATGACTTCCAGCCACCAACCAGCCAAATAAAGTCCAACTCTGGCACTCACCGATCTTAGCACTGCCATTGATCCCAATGCAACATGACAGGACCTGGAATGAGTGCAGACTCCACAGGGGGAGAGCCCTGACCTGAGCAAGACTGTCCTCACTTCCGACACCAGCCACAATTCAAAAAAAAAAAAAAAAAAAAAAAATGGCTTCAGAGAAGAAGGGAGAGGGAGAAATAGAAACATCAATGATGAGAGAGAATCAGGGATTGCACCGGCCACAATTTGAGGGGTCCTCAGGTCACCTGAACTTCTGACCAAAGGGCTATAATTTGGGGGGGTTCCCATGACCCCGGTGCCTTGATAGCCCCTCTGATTGGTCATTCTTCCCTTGGACTGGTTACTATAGTAACTCCTGGGCTCAAAGGTTGAACCTCAACTGGGACGTTGTCCCCCCTCCTTCCTTACTATTTTCCTATTCCCTTTGGGCTTTCTTCTTCTCCTTCTGAATGAAGGGTTTCCTTCTCTGTATTTTGTAAATATGGACCTTCTGCTGTTCCCAGCTCCCTGGCTCTGTGGAATGTACCTGTTGCAGTTTTTCAGCTCTCCTGTTCTATGGAAATGTACCTTCTGCTACTCTGCAGCCCTGTGCTTCCTCTGCATCCCCTTCATTTCCACAATTCCTAAAATTTCCCACACCTGTCCTATTTTACCCCCAAATTCCTGTTTCATCAAGAGGTGGCCATTTGCAAGCCAGGAAGAAGGATCCGCGTTATTAACCGGTAAATATTTATTTTTAAATCCGCACTACTAACCGCTAAACATTTATTTTAAAAATACGCACTACTAACCCATAAACATTTATGAAAAAAATCACATTATTAGCCAGTACGACGATTAGCAGGTCCACCAGTTAATAATGTGGATTTTTCAATGAAATCTTTACCAGGTGCGCCAGTTAACAGTGCAGATTCTTCCAGTGAACTATATACTGGTATATTAATATATAAAAAGATTCACTTCACTCCCTCCCTAACAAGGATCTTACATGAAGGCACAGGCCAGAGACTGATTTCTTTCTACTCTGAGTTGAAAAACATCATGACCCACGGTCCTGGGAGCTGTGGAAGCCCACTCTTTCCATCCTGAGGGGAAGACTGTCACCCCTTTCCCCTCTGAAGCCTCTTCTCCCCATTTCCTCGTCTATTTCCAGCCACTGCTCAAAGCTAAGTGCAAAGTCTTCCTTAGAGATCATGACCCACAAAAATACAAAGCCCTTTCTCAGGTGAGGAAACGGAGGCCAAATGGGAGGGCTCAGGGTCACAGCGTCTGTGCTGAGAGGGACCCCAACTTTCCACTGAGGGTCCTTTTGGGCTCCTCTCCTCCTTCCCCCCAACACACACACACACACACACACACACACACACACACACACACACACACGCACACATCTCTGGGAAGTTCCATCCCTGTGTTCCTTCTGCTTCCGGACACAGATGCGCCTGCCCCTGCTCCCCGGGGACCCTCCAGCCACCCTCACTGACCCGTGGCTTAGGGTCCGGAAAATTAAACTGCGAAAAGATAAACATTATTTCCAGTCGGCTTTGCAGGATTAAGGCTTGTAATAAAGAGCATTAGCTGGAGGTTTCTTTCAAGGCGCTCTCGACCACACCTCCTCCTTAGGGACTATGGAGACCCCTCCCCGCTCAGGCTTGTTGCGGGGGGGGGGGGGGGGGAGGAGCGGGGGGAGAGAGAAGGGGCCCTTGGTGTGGGGCTCCAGCTAGCCATTCTGAGGCCAGAGAGGCCCCTCAGCCTTACACGGTATCAGCACTCGCAGGTGGGGGAAGTGGAGTCTCCAGAGAAGGCACCCACCCAAGCCAGAGGCTACATGGCTGATCAGGGAGTTAAGGATGGAGGCTTGCTGAAACCAGTTTGGCTCAGTGGTAGAGTGTCAGTCTGCAGACTGAAAGGTCCCAGGTTCGATTCCGGTCAAGGACATGTACCTTGGTTGTGGGCACATCTCCGGTAGTGGGTGTGTGCAAGAGGCAGCTGGTCGATGTTTCTCTCTCATCTACGTTTCTAGCTCTCTCTCCCTTCCTCTCTGTAAAATATCAATAAAATATATTTAAAAAAAAAAAAAAAAAAGGATGGAGGCTTGGGAGGGGGGAGGAACCTGACCCCCAAAGAGCCTCCAGCCAATCAGCCTTTTCCTTGGGGAAGAAAGCCCACCTGAGCCCTCCGACCTCACCACCAGGACCTCAGGAGGGGGTCTCTCCATCTCATGTCCTGGAAGCCTAGCCTCTCCCCGCCTCCCCCAACCTGTACCAGGAGCCTGCAGCCAAGGCTGTCCCCAAGACCCGGGCCTGGTTGCCTGGAGACAGTGGGGTGTGAGAAGAGCCAAAGAGTCGCCTGGGATCCCAGAAAGTGGCTCTCCATCCTCTTCCCACCTTACTATGTGGGGGACCAGCCCCGTCCCCTCTCTCGGTCTCCCCTGCTGTAGAGTACAGGGAGGGGCTAGCTCTCCATGGGGGCGGGTGGGTAGGGGGGCCTGAGAATGGCCTGTCTGAGCCTATGATTATCCCAGCCCCGGCCCCAGCAGCAATCTGTTCCCACCCTCTCTGCTCTCAGGGAGCGCCTCCTGCAAATCTCCCCGCATAATCTCCCAGATTCATATTTTGAATACTGTTTTGATTAAACACCAGAGCCCAGGGAGGGAGGGCACAGCCCTGCTCTCCATGCTGAGCCTGCTGGTGCCCACCGACAGCTGGCCTGTGAGCCCCGAGAAGTGCCTGCCGGCAGATGCAGGGTGGTGCCGTTCTCAGGGCTGAGTCTGTAAGCCCTGGGCTCCACACTCCCCGATGGCTCAAGCCTCCCTTCCATCAGCCGGGGTGGGGGGAGGGGGGGGACACCAGGGGTCCAGGTGGAGACAAGCTGAACCAATGTCTATAGATTCCTCTCCCAA